CATGAAGGGGGTTTGCACGGGGGGGTTTGCACGAGGGAGGGGTTTGCATTGGAGGCGTTGCACGGGGGGGTGGATAGAGGATTTTGCACAGGGGGGGTTTGCACGAGGGTGGTTTGCACGAGGGGAGGTTGGGCGAATGGTTTTGCACGAGGGATCTTGCATGAGGATATTTGCACGAGGGTGGGGTTTGCACAGAGCTTTGCACGAGGATGGGTTGCAGGGTTGTGGACGAAGGGTTTTGCATGTGGGGAGTCTTGCACCAGGAAATTTGCACGAGCATGGGTTTGCACGAGGGTCTTGCACGGGGGAATTTGCACGAGAATGGGTTGCACAGGGTGTTACACGAGGGGATTTTGCTCGAGGGGGGTTTTGGACGAAGGGATTTGCGTGAGGGGGTTTTGCACGAGGAAATTTGCACAAGGAGCAGTTAGCACAAGGGAATTTGTACTGGGCCAATGCACAATGGGTTTTGCACGCAGCCGTTTGCATGAGGGCACCAGGACTTTTGCACGAGGAGTTTCGCACGAAAACATTTGCACATCTGCCCTCCAATAATTGCACGAGGAGATTTGCACAGGGGCAATCTGCACTAGGACTTTTACACGATGATGTTCGCACGGGGATGTGCAGCACACCCTTTGCACAAGGATAACCCTTAGCACGAGTCCTTGCACTAAAAATGCATTTGGTGAGGGCATGCCTTTGCACGAGGCCTGGCACAAAAACAGCGTTGCACGTGGCCTTGCACACGATGGTGCCTCACAAGCACGCCTCCGTCCGCCCCGCAGAGAACGGGCAGTGGGAAATCGTGCACGGCGCGGCGCTGCAGCACGAGGGTTTGCACGAGGACGTCACCTTCATCCTCATCATCCGCCGCAAGCCGCTCTTCTACATCATCAACGTCCTCGTGCCCTCCGTGCTGCTCACCATGCTGGCCGTCAGCACCTTCTACCTCCCCCCTGACGCTGGTGAGTGCACGAGGGCTTTGCACGGGGGGATGGTGCGCGAGGGGGGTGATTCACAAGGGGGGCTTTGCACGAGGAGGGTAAGAGCTGAGGTTGGTATGAATGGCTGTCACGAGTGTGCTCACAAGCGCTTGGTTGCTTTGCACGAGGCCTTTCACAACACGAGGCTGACCCTTTGCACGAGGAGACTCCCTTGCACTAGGGTGGACTCTTGCACGACGATGCTCACAAGTGCATGGACGCTTTTCACGAGACCTTGCACAGAGCCTCATGGGGCATCACATGGGGAAAGCGCTTCACACAAGTGCTCACCAACCCCTCACACAATTCCAACCCCTCGCACTGTTCACATGAGGATGTTCACAAGTGCCTGGCCGCTTTGCACAAGGTCTTGCACAACAGATAGCAGGGCATCATGTGGAGACAGCAGTTCACACAACTGCAGCCTTCCACGTGAGTCCAAGTCCTTGCACGAGGACAGCCCCTTGCACAAGGCCTTGCTCACAAGAGTCTGTCCGCTTTGCATGAGGCCTTGCACAACATATCACAAGTCATCGCACGGACGCAGCATTTCACACAAGTGCTGCCCACCCCCTTGCATGCAACCAACCCCTTGCACAAGAACCGACCCTTGCATGAGGACGCTCACAACTGCCTGGCCGCTTCGCACGATGCCTTGCACAACACCTCACAGACCACCGCACGGACGCAGCACTTCGCACAAGCGCCGCCCGCCCCCTCCCACAATCCCAACCCCTCGCACGAGGGCGCTCACACTCTCCTTGCACGCCCGCAGGCGAGAAGATGACGCTGTCACTCTTTGCACTACTGACGCTGACGGTTTTCCTGCTGCTGCTGGCCGACAAAGTGCCCGCCACCTCGCTGGCCGTGCCGCTCATCGGCCGTTACCTCACGGGGGCCCTGGTGCTGCTCACACTCAGCGTCACGCTCAGCGTCGGGGTGCTCAACGTGCACCATCGTGTGCCCACCACGCACCGCATGCCGCAGGGGCTGCGCACGGTGAGCTGGGGGGAGGAGGGAGGGGGGTTTGCACGAGGGGTTGGGGGTGTAGGAGGG